AAATGAGAAGGCAAGATTAGAGAAAAAATAGTGAAAAAAAATGAACAAAGACTCCAAGAAATATGGGATTATGTGAAAAGACTTATTCTACATTTGATAGATGTACCTGAATGTGATGGGGAGAATGAAACCAAGTTGGAAAACACTCTGCAGGATATTATCCAGGAGAACTTTCCCAACAGAGCAAGACAGGCCAACATTCAAATTCAAGAAATATAGAGAAAACCACAATGATATTCCTGAAGAGGAACAACCTCAAGGCACATAATCATCAGATTCACCAGGGTTGAAATGAAGTAAAAAATCCTACGGGCAGCCAGAAGGAAAGGTCGAGTTACCCACAAATGGAACCCATCAGACTCACAGTGAATTTCTTGGCAAAAATCCTACAAGCCAGAAGAGAGTGGGGGCCAATATTCAACATTCTTAAGGAAAAGAACTTTCAACCCAGAATTTCATATCCATCCAAGCTAAGCTTCATAAATGAAGGAGACATAAAATTCTTTACAGACAAGCTATTGCTGAGAGACTTGGTCACCACCAGCCCTGCCTTATAAGAGATCCTGAAGGAAGCATTTGATATGGAAAGGAACAACCACTACCAGCCACTGCAAAAACATACTATATGGTAAAGACCATGGACACAATGAAGAAACTGCATCAACTAACAGGCAAAACAACCAGCTAGTATCAAAATGGCAGGATCAAATTCACACATAGCAATATTAACCTCAAATGCAAATGGACTAAATGCCACAATCAAAAGACAAAGACTGGCAAATTGGATAAAAAGTCAAGACCCATCAGTGTGCTATATTCAGGAGACTCATCTCACATGCAAAGACACATATCGGCTCAAAATAAAGGGATGGAGGAAGATTTAGCAAGTAAATGGAGAACAACAACAACAAAAAAAAGCAGGGGTTGCAATCCTAGTCTCTGATAAAACAGACTTTAAACCAAAAAAGATCAAAAGAAACAAAGAAGGGCATTATATAATGGTAAAAGGATTAATGCAACAAGAAGAGCTAACTATCCTAAATATACACACACCCAATACAGGAGCACCTAGATACATAAAGCAAGTTCTTATTGACCTACAAAGAGACTTGACTCCCACACAATAGTAGTGGGAGACTTTCACAATCCATTCTCAATATTAGACAGACCAAAGAGACAGAAAATTAACAAGGATATTGAGGGCTCAAACTCAGATCTGGACCAAGCAGACCTAGTAGACATCTACAGAACTCTCCACCCCAAATCCACAAAATATACATTCTTCTCAGCACCACATTGCATGTACTCTAAAATCAACCACATAATTGGAAGTAAATCACTCCTTAGCAAATGCAAAAGAATGGAAATCATAACAATCTACCAGACCACAGTGCAATCAAATTAGAACTCAGGATTAAGAAACTCATTCAAAACTGCACAACTACATGGAAACTGAACAACTGGCTCCTGAATGACGACTGGATAAACAAGGAAATGAAGGCAGAAATAAAGATGTTCTTTGAAATCAATGAGAATGAAGACACAACTTATCAAAAATCTCAGGACACGTTTAAAGCAGTGTCTAGAGGGAAATTTATAGAAATAAATGCCCACATGAGAAACTAAGAAAGACCTAAAATCGACACCCTATCGTCACAATTAAAAGAAGTAGAGGAGCAATATAAACAAATTCAAAAGCTAGCAGAAGACAAGAAATAACTAAGATCAAAGCAGAACTGAAGGAGATAGAGACACAAAAACCCTTCAAAAGATGAATGGATCCAAAAGCTGGATATTCTAAGAGATCAACAAAATTTATAGAATACTAGCTAGACCAATAAAAAAGAAAAGAGAGAAGAATCAAATAGATGCAATAAAAAATGATAAAGGGGCTATCTCCACCAATTTCACAGAAACACAAACTACTATCAGAGATTACTACCAACACCTCTATGCACATAAACTAGCAAATCTGGAAGAAATGGATAAATTCCTGGACACTTAGACCCTGCCAAGACTAAACCAGGAAGAAGTTGAAACCCCGAATAGACCAATAACAAGGGCTGAAGTTGAGACAGCAATTAATAGCCTACCAAACAAAAAAAGTCCAGGGCCCAGGGAAAATGTGGCACATATACACCATGGAATATTATGCAGCCATCAAAAACAATGAGTTCGTGTCCTTTGTAGGGACATGGATGAACCTGGAAACCATCATTNTGTCCTTTGTAGGGACATGGATGAACCTGGAAACCATCATTCTCAGCAAACTGACACAAGAACAGAAAATCAAACACCCCATGTTCTCACTCATAGACAGGTGTTGAGCAATGAGAACACATGGACACAGGGAGGGGAACATCACACACTGGGGTCTGCTGGGGGGTGGGGACTAGGGGAGGGACATTGGGGGCGGGAAAGTTGGGGAGGGTTACATGGGGAGAAATACCTAATATAGGTGACAGAAGGATGGAGGCAGCAAAGCACCTTGCAATGCATGTACCTATGCAATAATCCTACATGATCTGCATATGTACCCCAGAACCTAAAGTACACTAAAGAGAAAAAGAATAACAAAGGAATAGTATGAACACTTTACATGCTAATTTTAATAACATAGATGAGATAGACATATTCCTTGAAATATACAAACTAACCAAGTTTATTATAAAATAAATAAATAATCTAAATACCCCTATGCTTATTAAAGAAATTGAACCTGTAGTTTAAAAATCCTTCCTACAAAGAAAGCCTGAGAACTAGGGCATCTCTTGTGAACTTTACAAAACATTGAAGGAAGAAACGATACCAATCATACACAAATGCTTTGAGAAAATGAAAAAAAAATATGATCCTTTTCAAACCATTCTTTGATTACCCTTACCCTGATAACAAAGCCAAACAACAAATCAAAGAAAAACCATCACCAGATATCCTTCATAATCATTGATGAAAAAAAAATTGGAATATTTTAGCAAACTTAACCCAACAACATATACAGAGGATTTAAAAAGTTTAAAAACCAAGTGAAGTTTATCTCCAGAATTGAAAGTATGTATGCCACTTTAAATTTGATCATTATAATTCATTATTTGAGCATAATTGTAAAAGAAAGAAATGTGGTATGAACATCTTAATGGGTGAAGAAAAATTATTAGATAATCCAAGCATTTGACACAAAGCATTTGTCACAAACTCTGAGAATACGAATAAAAGGGGAAAATGTGTGTACAAAAACCCTGCAGCTCACACCATACAGAATGGCTTCCACCCTAAGATCAGAAACAATACAAAGATTTCCACTCTCATCATTTTCAGTCAATACATTAAATCAGTGGGGGTTGAGGAATGATAAAGATGATCATATTGGAATGGAAAAAGGAAACTATCTTTATTCACAGATGACATTATTGTATACATAGAAAATTCAATGAAATCTACAAAAATGATCCTGAAATTAATGAGTTTACCAAGGTTGTATAACATGGTATAGAAGATAGATATACAAAAATCAATATTTATATATACTAACAAGAAAAAATTGTAAATTGCAATTAAAAAAACTGCATATAATACTATCAAAAACCATATTTAGAAAAAAAAACTAGAGCAAAAGAGATGTGAAAGACACATACACTAAAAAATACAAAATATCCCTGAGAAAATGAAAAATCACATAAAAAATAGAAAGATGTACCTTCCTCAGTGGTCAGAAAACATCCTATTGTTAATATGCCAATTATTCTCAAATTGATCTATAGATTCAACAGAATCCTAATCAAAATCCCAACAGGACTTTTTTAGACATTGACAAACTGATTTTAAAATTTCTATAGAAATTCAAAGGACCTAGAAGAACCAAAAAGAACAGTATTAAATAACTAATACAGCCCAATTTCTAGATTTATTATAAAGCTAAAGTAGTTAACAGAGTGTGAAATTTGTGTGAGAGAAAAATCAATAGAAGAGAAATGACTGCCCAGAAATTGATCCTCAAGAAATATAGACAACTGATATTCTACCAGTTTCCAAATGGAGAAAAGATGGTCTTTACAAAAATAGCTCTGAAATTACCAGATATATGTAAGCAATAAATATATTTTTTAAATAAAATCTTTGATCTATATCTTGTGCTGTTTACAAACATCATAATGGATTTAAATGAAAACCAACTTTATCGCCTTAGGACATGCAAAGTTTTCATAGATACATCAAAAGTAACAAAATCTGTAAAAAAGAAAATTGATAAATTAAACTTAATCAAATTTAAAAAAAACTTCTATTTGACACTGTTAAGAAAAGGAAAGGGACAAAGCCAAGGATGAAGAGAAAATTTTGCAAATCATATATGTGATAACGGACTTACAAGTAGAACACAACAAGAATAGTCAAAACTAAATATGATATCCAGCAACCTGGTTTAAAAATGGGGAAAATCTGAACAGAAACTTCAATCAAGGAGAGATAAGGATGACAAATAACCAAATATAGAGATGTTCAATACCAGCAGTCATTAGGAAATGCAAATGAAACCCAGAATGAGATTCCACCACACACCTGCTAGAATCTGGGCTGCGCATGTGACGTCAGAGCTGCCCCGCCTCCCGGAAGAACCTGGGTTGTGCATGGCTCGCGGTCTCCTAGCGACCAGAGCCGCAGGGATCGGAAACCGCTGAAGCAGGAGAGGTGGCAGCCCAGCGAGGACCACCATGGGGGACCAGAGGCCGCAGGACCGGCCGAGGTCCCCGGGCATGGACTCCACTCCCCGGTATTGTGACAAACGGCCTTCCAAGTGCTTCGCGGAGCGCAAGCACAGGCGCATGAAGTTGCCCCCCATAGACACCGAGAACTGGATATTTGTGAAGGAGGGCATGGACGACTTCCGCTACGGCTGTCCGTCTCCCGAGGATATGCTCATTTGTCGCCGGGACGACTTCTTACTCCCCAAAATCTCTAGCAGAAGTCCGCATGCTGACCCACAAAGCAGGCAGAAAAAGCCGCTCAAGGAAGCGGCCCTATTTTCCAAACTGTCGCCAGCCCAGCTAGCACGGAAGGCGTTCGTAGAGGAAGTGGAAGGCCAGCTGATGGCTGAGCATTCCTTGGCCATGGACCCCGATGTGGCAGAAGATATGCCTCCAGATCTCCTACGACAGGTGCTGAAAGTGCTGGATCCTGAGAGGAGGCTGGAGGGCGCATGGGCTTGTTGTGAGGGCTCGGAGAAGGCAACCGAGGAACCCACCGAGCCTGGTAAATACCCTTGTGGGGAATCCTACCCATGGCCTTCCGAGACTCCGGTATCACATCTCTGCCTAGAGTCTCCTGAGAGGAGATTGTCCCATCTCCATCCAGAGACTCTTGAGACTGTAATGTCCAGTCTCCTCCTGGGGCCTCCCAAGACTCGTCAGATATCGAGTCTCTACCCGGAGCCTCCCGAGACTGCAGTGTCCCATTTCTGCCCGGAGCCTCCCAAAACTCGTGTATCTCGTCTCTGCCCAGAGCCTCCTGAGACTGGAGTGTCCCATCTCAGCCCAGAGCCTCCCAAGATTCAGCTGTCCAGTCTCTGCCCAGAACCTCCCGAGACTGGAGTGTGTCATTTCCACCTGGAGCCTCCGAAGACTCGTCGGATGTCCAGTCTCCACCCGGAGCCTCCTGAGACTGGAGTGTCTCATCTCCACACAGAGCCTCCCAAGAGTCGTAGATCATCCAGTGTCCACCCCGAGCCTCCCAAGATTGGAGTGTTTCATGTCCACCCAGAGTCTCCCAAGAGTCGTCGATCGTCCAGTCTCCCACCGGAACCCCCCAAGACTGAAGTGTCTCATGTCCAACCAGAGCCTCCCAAGACTCAGAGGCCCTGTTCCAGCCCGGAACCTCCCGACACTAGTGTGGTGTCCAATCTCCTACTAGACATACTGAAACTGCTGGATTCCCAGAAGGAGCTGAAGGACGTATGGGCTCGTTGTGAGGCCCGGGTGAAGGCAAGCGAGAAACCCACCCAGTCTGATAAATACCTTTCTGCAGAAGTCATCCAGCAGCTTCCCGAGGTTTTCCTGCTTCCCGAGATTCACTTATCGAATCTCCGCGTAGAGTCTCTCAAGACTCGTCGGGGGTCCCGTGTCCGCCCGGGGCATCCGAAGACTCGTCGGGTGTCCCGTCTCCGCTCCGAGCATCTGAAGACTCGTCTGGGGTCCCGTCTCCACCCGGAGCCTCCCAAGACTCGTCGGACGTCCATTCTCCACCCGGAACCCCCCAAGACTCATCGGGGGTCCAGTCTCCACCCAGAGCCTCCCAAGACTCGTCGCGGGTCCAGTCTCCGTCCAGAGCCTCCCAAGACTGAAGTGTCTCATCTCCACCCAGAGCCTCCCAAAGCTCCAGTGTCCCAACAATTATCGGAGCCTCCCAAGATTCGAGCGTCCTTTCTAAAAGCACTGTTTCCAGAAGATACACCAAGCACAAGGAAGGATTCTCTTAAATTTAGATACACATCAGAAAAACTCCGTGACTTCTTCAAGTGGACTGAAGAAATGGGAGCTGATGAAGAATCCATCAGGGATCTCTTCGACTTTACTCCCAAGTGCAAACCAACCTATGACGACCAACAGATAAAGAAGATAAACAAGTGGTCCTCAGAGCTGCAGTACAACATAGAGCTAGATGAAATGGATGAGGTCAAATTACTATCAAAGGAAAAATTCTGGAGGAGAACATCGCAGACAGCACCAAATTCTTATACTGCGCAACCTGTGAAGATGAGGTATGGAGCGTGGTACCTCAAGCCTAAGCTGTGGAGAAAGCTAAGAAGTGATGAACCTTTGATTGACCCCAAGCTCTTACTTAAAAAGCCTGATGAACCCGACATTCTTGACGAACTTTACGGACCGATTGCCTTTAAGGATTTCATTCTAAGCAGGGGCTACGAAATGCCTGGCGTCATTGAAAAGCTGTTTGCCAGGATGGGATGGACTTATGACTCTGTTAAGACTCCTATGGAACGCGCAATGAAACTTTACAAATACAAACAACCACGGCGAGGGGGCATTGCAGGATTGGACCATTTTCTACTTCGTACTTAATTGGGTATTTCTTCCTCTCATTTTAAACATCAGTCAGAATTTATGATGAATGGCCCCGTGAATGTTCAACTTTAGCAACATCTGTAAATTCAGTATCTAATGTTTATAAATATTTCTTAATGACTTGCTTTGGCTTCATTATTTCATATATTTTATCAATTATGTGATTAATATTCACATATACTTTGTCACATTTTTGAAGCATTGTGAACATTACATCATCATGTCAATTATTCGTAAAAATACATACAACAAGAAATAAAAGCAGAATTATTCTTAAAAAGAGAAATGGGGTTGGGCACATTGGCTTATTCCTGTAATCGCACCCCACTTTGGGAGAACTAGGAGGGTGGATTGCTTGAGCCCAGGAATTGAAGACCAGCCTGGTCAGCAGGGTGAAACCTGGTCTCCACAAAAAAAATGCAAAAATTAGCCAGGAGTGGTGATGTGCACCTGTAGTCCCAGCTACTCCGGGGAATGACTAGGAGGATCTCTTCAGCCCAGAAGGCAGAGATTGCTGTGAGCTGTGATCGTGCCACTGCACTCCAATCTGGGTGACAGAGTAAGACCCTGTGTCAAAAAAAAAAAAAAAATCAAAATGTGCTGAGTAAAAATAGAATTGTATAACTCTTCTTATATTAAAATTGTAATGAAATAATTACAACAATTATTTGGTTAACCAAAAATTGGAGTCTGTAGCAAAAATAATGTTAACACTTTTGAATAGTGAAATTATCTTCCCCTTTGGAATTCCATCAAAGCCCCAAAACAAGTTTGAAAACTATTTATCAAAATCATAGGTGAAACTTGAGTTATGCGATTTTATCATATCTAAGTAGAATGTATGTAAATATTCGCCATGTTCATAAACCTTCATTACAACAGACTATTACCAAATCATATAAACAAGTGAAGAATAGGAGGTAGCTTCAGCTCCCTGGCAAATCTCATGTGCAAAATAGATCTGCGTGAGAAAAGCTACATCAAATATCCTTACATATCTGTTGAAGTTCAAATAATTTTCTTTTTTTTAATATATTTTTACTGTGCTTTAGGGTCTGAGGTATTCATTTCATTAACAGCAATTTAAAATGCACTCATAAGTTTAAAATACTAACTCAATCAACTGCTTTATGTTTCAAAACTAGCAAGTAAAACTGTCTGGTATAAGTAAATTTGTAGGTAAATATATTTCTAGTGTACATTTGAAGTGCACCTTTTCTTCTAGTGATGAAAGAAGCCATCTATAAATGGAAATATATGCATATATTTCATTCAAGTAAGCACTGATATATGCATCTCTCTATGAGCAAATTCTGTTTATAGTGAAGTTTTTCTGTGGGCATTTTGTTCCTGAAGAACCAAGTCTTTTTTTGTGTTGTTTTCTAAGGCAAGGCCTAGAATTTCTCTTCAAAGTCATCATCATAAACTTAGGTTAATGTCATCACTATATCTTATTGTATTTCTGCAGCGGTTTCCAACCCATGTCTCTTCTTGAGTGTATTTTTGTAAAATACAAGCATGGCTTGTTAACTCTCCAGACTCATCTAAATTTATCTAGGTACATAAACACTCACACACACATGTGCATACATACTCACACATGTTCCTGCATTCCCTGCTCCAGTCAATATTCCTTTTCTTACCTGTGTTTTTCTTGTGTCTTCCTACATAATCTTCTCTATTGTTAGGACTTCACTCAGGCCACGTGATCCTGTTTCAGGGTCTCCCCACCAAGGTCAATTTCACGATGCCTTTTATTAAGATCTTGTATCTGTAGACAACGACACTCATTTCCCAGTTGTTTTCCACTGAAGAACTCATTTCAGTAACCTAGAGAAATGAGTCATGAATGCCTTCAGAATCTGGGAAGCCCCCATACTTATTTATTCTGACTTCTGAGAGGCCAATACCATGCCTTATGGCTCTGAGTTATCTGGATTCTGAGGTTCTCCACTGAAGCCTTGGGCTTCATGCAGCAGCATTCAATGTTCAGTTCCTTTCAGCAAGAGTAAGATATCCTTTTCCACATTTGGTTATGTGACCTTGCACTTCATGAAGGATGTATCCTCATCTACACAATGGACACCATATGATGAAACTCAAATTCTGATAAGACTTAAATGATTACTTATTAAAGTGCCTAATGCCTCAAGCATCATAGAAGTGATACTCAACATATATTTGTGGAAGAGGAGGAGTAGAAAAGGAAGAAGGGTACTAAAAGATCACAACAGAAAGACACTATAAAAATAACTTTTTGTTGGTGTTTATCTGGTGATAGCCTTTATCTGTATCACACATAATCTTAGCTATTGCTTAGATTATGAAAAAGTAGTGCTTGCTTTGGCAGCACATATACTAAAATTAAGATGAAAAAGCATAATTGCAAAATAAAAGCCCCTGGTTAGGGCTTCTATTGCTTATTGGTAATGGCGAATTCCAGGGAAATAAACTTTCCTCAGAGAAATTATGTCAGTTTCTTCACACTGTAATCACACAAATTGGTATTAGTTGTCACACAGATATAAACAGAAACAATGTTTGATCTATTTGGATTTTTAACAACCAGATAGACTTCTGAAAACATCCTGACTTCAAATCCATAGTTTTTAGAAATAGAAGGAATTCAAGAGAACTTGATATATAATTGTGCCTGTATAGCCAGAGCCTGGAGGAAATAACTATCTTCTAAAAATCATTCAATTGTACTATACGTTGCATATCTGCAATCTTTCTTCATTTTTTAAAAGAAAGCTCAACGTTGTGAAGAGTCAATTTTTTCACAATCTAATAATACAGATTATCACTATGTACTTGTAGTGGATCTGTATCCAGTGGTCTAGAGTAACTATAATAAAATCTACCACTCAGTACACCGTTACTATTGAGCCTCCAAGACAAAAAACCCTGTAATGGAAACACACAGAAAAAATCTAAGGTTTCATTTTTTTTATTGTTAGAGATGCAAGACAAATACTATTAAAATTAAATATCAATTCAGGACAGTAATACTTAAAAAGTCTAAAGGCCTTATGAATATATAAGCAACTTTTATAAGCTTTTGTAAGCTACTTTTTGAAGGTTAGTCCCTCTTCTTAGGCTAATTTGGGAATTTATTGATTCTTAAAGCTATTCATATTTTGAAACTGCGCTACCTACTACACTTTCCCCAGAAACTATATAAATAAAATTCCAGACTAGCTAGAAAAGAAGAAAAAAGTAAAAGCACAAAAGAGAAGAGAAAATGTGTTATATTTGTCTTCTAGACTTGGAGCAGAAGAATCTAAGTTTTAGCAACTGATATGGTTTGGCTCTGTGTCCCCACTCAAATCGCATATCAAATTGTAATACCCACATGTTGAGGGAGGGAGGTGATTGTATCATGCGGGTGATTTCCCCCATGCTGTTGTCATGATAGTGAGTGAGTTTTCATGGGATCTGATGGTTTTATAAGTGTTTGGAAGTTCCTTCTTCATTCTTCTCCTTCTTGCTGCCTTGTGAAGAAGGTGCTTGCTTCCCCTTCACCCTCGGCCATGATTGTAGTTTTCCTGAGGCCTCCCTATCCATGTGGAACAGTAAGTCAGTTAAATCTCTTTCCTTTATAAATTACCCAGTCTCAGATACTTCTTCATAGCTGTGTGAAAACAGACTAATAGAACAACTGAAGTAAGATTTTACATAATAAATTAACTACTTTTTCAGAGACAGCCTACTTTTAAAAATATAATAATAGCTACCACATATTGATTACAAACAGTGAGCTAAGTGTAATATTAGAATCATCTTAAACGCCCACCTAATTTAACACTTATAACATCTCTCATTGCTACTACTATTTTTCTGATGAATATATCAGTATAGGAAAGTTCTCACAGTTCAGATGGGGTAGGTACACTCAAGCCTTCAGCTGAGGATTATTTGATTAAGAACTCCATACTTTTCTTCACCTCCTAGGAAGGGAGTAAAGAATGCTTACTGTATCCATTCAGTATATATGTACCTTAAATTAAGGAGAAGTACACTGAGATTATTGATCATAAATTATCTCAATTCCAAAGGCTGCTCCTATATCATATAGCTTTGATAACTTCTTTCCATCTGCCAGAATATTCACTATTATAACTAAAATTAATGTAAAAAGAGGATGTAGCTTACAGATATATGAGGTCACACAATGTAGGTATGTGGTTACTTCTCAAATCAGCGATTGGCTCTAACTTTTTCAGTATAATGGTTTATAATATGACAATATGGATTTTAAAAAATTTTAGTTATAGGCTGTTTTCAAGAGGAAAGTATCTTGGGAATATGTCTCATTTAACTGTTTTTAGCATAATATCTCCCCTATGGCTCATTTTCTTAGTTAATGATCAACATCAGCAATATGTCTTTTTAATGTGAATATGAAATTTGTGTTCACAACATGGTGATGGCAGAAGATAGCAGCAAGTTTTTCATTTATTATTTATTTTCACTTATTTTTTAAAAGTAAAGTCAGCTTACCAATAGTTTACAAAATGTATTATTCAGAACAAGAATCTTACTGATTAATTCTAGAAAGAAAATTAAAAAAAAATTAAGTTTATAAGATTCCATTGTCTAATAAACTGTAGTTCAATACTACACAAAAATACACCAAATATTTACATGTAATGAGGCTTACAAACACTTAGCCCTGTGAGCTACATTAATTAAAATAAACATTTGCAAACCCAATATCCACTACACTGAAAATATTTCAGATATTTCTGAGAATTATTTGTCAGTCTCTTTGGGGGAAAAGTTACTGGTAAAAACAAATGCTTTTGTATAATTTGGACAGAAAACAAGCAATATCCAATACAGCTTACTGTTGATTTGATTATAATAAATTTTATAAAATGCAATTTAATACAGTTAGTTATTTTTAGAGCCTGTCAGCAGTTATTCTCCATACAGACAGAAACTGATTGAATGGACTTCTACTTGATAGTCATAAGGAGGAAAGCTGAAATAAA